CTACTAATACCTCATTAATTATGCCACTTCACGAGAATGGGATTGCTAATTTCCTTGTATGTTAATAAATGTATTTGTGAAGTGAAGTCAGTAAACAGTTCATAGGAGGGAAAAGTAATAAAAGAAAGAATGCATATTACAACATCTATAATGGTTGTAATTCTTTCACATTATCATCATTATGAAATGAATAGCATAATTAATTAATCCACATCCTTATAACTTTTATTCTAGTAGTTGCTCAGTTGGTCAGAACTGCATGTTACATCTGCCTTTTTCAAACTGACATTCAATTTTGAGGCCTCTTGATGTATTTTAACTACCATCTGTTTTTCACGGTAAGCTATTTACAGTCTTTGTGGTGTAACATCACGTCCCCTATTTATTTTGCAACATAATATTAATGGGTTTTCTTGATTGATGAGGATAACATTATTTACAGTATAGAGAGAAAGAGAAATTTAACTAGGAAATCTCAGCACTGTGTGGAATACATATTTTTATGTCTTTAAACATCAATTTTTTATGTATCATATGGCATTTTGATTGTTTCCTTTAAAAAAGACATTGTTTTTGTTCTGGACTTGGTACTTTTGTTCTAAATGTAGTATGGTAATAATATGAACAAAAAGCTAATTTCTAAAAATGTGTAGTCTCTAGATACTAAAACATTATTTTTTGGGAGATCTTAAACCTGCTAGATTAGGATTTGGATTACTGTTCTCCATGTTGTTGTAGTGTATTTTCAATTAATTTTTATTGAATATAATATACTGCACTCTGGTATTCATTTAAATAATCTAGCATTTGTAAATAAAGAGTGTATAATTATATGTACAGGTTTTCAGATATATGTTTTGCTGTAACAGATTTGTATCTTTAGGGATTTGGGAGGTGGTAAGGACAGGAAAAGTTTTAGTAAGGAGGAGTAGGAAGTGACAAAAAAAAGAAAAGCAGACCAAATTTTAGAATACTAAAATCAATTTTATTTCAACTATAAAAAGATAAGATAAGGACTAGAAGATCTCCAAGGTCCCTTCCAACTCTGTTATTCTGTACTCTAAGTACGTGATGAACACAAAAGGGGTACTAACACATCTAAATCCAGGACAAAAAATTCATAGTACATAATTATAGCCATACCTCAATGAAGGTGGAGAAGGATATTATAATTTATTATTTAATTTTGTTATTTTATTTATTTGTATCTTGTCTTTATTATTTTTACAAATAACTCAAGACAGTGAACATATCCAACACTCCTTTCTCCTATTTTCCCCACAAGAACAACCTTGTGAGTTGAGTTGGGATTAGATACCGTGACTGACGCAAAGGATATTCGTCCAGATCTCTAGGTTTGTTGTGTTTGGTACCAACCCATTGGGGTTCGTTAGATTGTTTCATATGCGAAATTGAGACTTGTGGAAATTATTTTAATTCAAATTTTGTTTAAATTTCCAAAAATCTCATGTATTTGAGAGCTATTTTTCATGCTAGGGGGATTATTTTAGCTTTTCGTTCAAAACAGTTAACAGTTTGATCTATTGCTGATTTACTTGGTCATGATAATAAAGCCTATTGACATTTTTAGGATTTCACTAAGAAATGTTACATTCATCTAAAATATAAAGTACAAACAGAATGGATATATATTTGCAAAAGAGACCATTGAGTTGGACCAGCTTTCTTTAGTGCACGGGTCTCAAACTCATGCTCTCACATTGTCGTCACATAATGTACCATAGCTTTCCCCCCACCCTCCCTTTGCTAAATCAGGGGTGGGGGTGGCCAGTACAGGCCGCAAGTTTGACTTTACTGCTTTAGTGTACAGTACAGTTAACATGATTGTATGTATGGTATGTAACATGGGAACCACATTTAAGTTTGCTGCCTAAATAAGAGATAGCATATATATTTCATGATACAAACTAATGCTGGTTTTGTTTTCTTTTGAACTTTACTAGTTAGAAGAACATCCTTGGGTGAGGATGGATACAGGCAAAGTATGTTGGGTTGTAAAGTTCAGTCCAGAAACAAACATATGCAGTTTGTTCTTAAGTATTATTAAACTCTAATATTGATTACGTGTCAGAAGGCTTTTCAAAGTTTTATGGATTTTATTTATTAGTTGCTTTCCTTGGTGTGTACTTATTAATTTGATGATGGAAATGCTTTATGTATTAAGAAGGTTATTAAATGCATTGAAAGGTAGCCCAAGAAGATGGATTAGAAGATAGGTTTATTTTAGATTCCTACCTCCACTCTATATACTATATTACAGATCCACTGTGAATACTGTGTGCAAGATACAGTAGTGTTGTATCAGGCAGTGAACTAAGTTGCTTCAATACAGGAGTATATTAAGCTTGGAGAAAAAATACTCATAATAAACATTTCTAAGCAGCAAGCAGAATTCACACATTTGAGGAAATATAAAACACATCAGCACAGTTCTTAACTGGGAAGCAGAATTCACACATTTGTGGAAATATAAAACACATCAGCAAAATCCATAGCTATTTGACCAAAGCCAATTACCTATGACATTTGAGAGAGCAAAGCATTAATTATTTTATGGTGGGGTACACAAAATCAAACTGATTGGTTTTCAAAGGCCATTTCATCTGATCTTTTTTATTTGAGAAAAACGTTAGTGTATTTTTGTACTGTCTTGACCTTTAGCTGGTCATTCTCATTTTTGTATTAATTTTCCTATAACTTATAATTTCAACATCATGTCATTGAAAATAAATACATTTATTCCTGTGTAAAAATAGCGTATCATGGCTTCATCTGGGGTAATATAAAATTCTCATATGTACCCAAAGAATCAAAACTAGTAGTAATATATTTATGATCAATATTTTGCTAGAGCAAAATAAGTTGTATTGTTTCTCTATTTCTACTCTATTTTGCTATCCTTTATCCCAGACTTTCAAGAGAGTTGCATTGTCCTGAAACAGTTTTGGGGTTGTTACATGAGATGTGATGGATTGGCAAAAATCATATGGTCCATTTTCTGCAATTTTACCATGAAAGAGTAAACAACAATATGCAGATCTCAGAAAAACAGTAAAAAAAATAGGAAAAGAAATGAAAGGCATGTGATAAAGAACAAGAAAATGAAACCTAGCTAAAATTGGTTCACATCAACAATACTATATTTAACCATACTTTCGCTATGTCTGCTGCTTCATAGATTGCCTATGTGGTTTAAATTTCACATTTCTTTGATTTTGGAGTTATCATGAACTACATCCAACCATAACTTAGATTTCCCCTTCTTCTTGATCCATTCATTTTTCCTTCATAATTGTTTTATAGCTCATTCATTCTCTTCATGTGATCAAGCCACCTTTTATATTTATACAATATTTATTCTTTTGTTCAAATATGTGTGAATTGACATGCTTCAGTCACATATTCAGAACCAACCTTTTTCTAAACTGACATTCTCTAAATATCTAAACACTACAAAAACTGTTCTGTTTGTGTATAGTCTTTAACTGGGCAAAACATTGCATTGTAGGGCAACAACCTTTGCACCAAGGTACCTCAAATGGGCTTATATAGAATGTGTTTAAGTCTGCGATCCATGACTCCCATGGAATAAACCCCAAAACTTTAACAAGTGATATAAAACATATTATGACATACAATTACCATAAAACATTTTGTGATATAATAGAAAATGTCATAAAACATATCCTGTAGTGAAGGAGCAGTTGCTCAAGTGCCAAGCCATAATAGGTAAGTTTTCCCCAAATTGCCTGTTGCTAGACAGACTGAAATTAATCTGTCAGGAGCAATGGACTCTGTCTCGATGTGGGAAAGTGGCATTTGAGCCATAGATGAGTATGTTCTCACGTTCAATTTTTGTTGCTCTGCTAGGTAATGTAATATTTTAAAACACAATCACCTGTATTTATTGGTGTTACAGACTTTTTCATTTATATCAGTTTCCAGACTTAGATGCACTGACCTCTATATACACAATCAACCATGCTGGTTGAAGGAAAGGGGGAATTGTAGGTCAGCATATCTAGAATGTCTGTTTTTATGGAGAAACTAATTTATACCAATTAAGACAAAATGAGGCATGAAACTTGTAGGAAACATTAATGTTCAATTCCATTTTTTAAAATACAAGAAGATTAACATTAAATATCTTTTATATGAAATTCAGCTGGTTCTTTTCTTTTGGCGTTTTTTGATTCTAGCAATGCTAGCTACTTGATTTAGTTGCTGTAAATTTTATTTCACATGTATTTTTGCACATCAGCATAGTACTGTATGGAGGTTTTAACTATAAGATTTTGCAGCCAAACTGGAGAAGTGTATTTGATAAGGATGGACTAAAACTTCTTTCAAATGTATGAAATTTTGGTGATCTGCTGTGAGCATATTTTTAGCTAGTGCTTACATCAGTAATATTATGGCATTTGCCCATGTTTTAAAAAAATAAACTGGATTATTGAAATATGTTTTATTGAAGAGTTTTTAGAAACTTTAATACAACAAAATATAATCATCAAATTTATATTTGGGGTAGGTTTTATAAAAAATATGAATGTTATTCATCTGTATATTTGTTACCAATGGAAGCCCCGAGTACAAATTAAAATTACTTCTAGGAGCTGCAATTTTATTTTTTATGGCTCTATAGAATTCATTGCCATAAGTCAGACATTATGAGTTCAAAAATTATTGAAGGATGATATTAATCATACGCTGTATCAGTCTTCTTGCTCCTAAGTATTTAAATACCAAAGCTTTGATACATGCTAAATTATGCTATTTTGTTTGTTGCGTTTCTTTTCTATTAAATAAATAAAATCAACATTCAACTGATTTATGATGATGGTTCACACTATTATGATTATAGTCATTTCCATTATTTCTTTTAACACTGATTATTTTACCCTCAGTTAAATTATATAGCTATTGAATCAATATGCAAAAATGTCTTTAAGAGGGCTTTATCATGTTTGTGTTTATAGGAGCAAACTTTAGCTCTGCGGAAAGAAGGAATTGGAGTTGTGTTAGATTCTGCGTTGCCTCATTTAATAGGCATTGATGATGATCTTCTGAGCACAGGTATCATCTTGTATCATTTGAAGGTAATTCAATATTTTTTCTGCTTTCCAGTTTCCAAAAGGACAGTTATGTTTTTGTACTAATTTATTGTCTGAAAAGCTAAACATCTGTTACTCTCTGCAAAATGGAGATTAATTACTGAATATTTTAACTTATTTAATATGATTTTATCAGTCATCTACTGCCTATATCTGCCCTGAGGATTAGTGATAGATGAATAACATTCTTAATTTTATTTGTTCTTAATTCATTTTACTCTGACTATGGCTTGTTGATGCTTTGAAACATTTAATTTTCTTTTCTAAATAAGCACAGAACTAACAATAAATAAATTCTAACAATATTATAAACCATATGGTTTTAAAATGAATTTAAGTAAATTAAATAACAAATATTACTAACTGTCATGGGAAGCATGAAAAAGCAATGCATCGCTAAATATTAAGACCTCTAGTTCCAGGCAAATGTAGTTAAGCTTGTATAGGAAGAGAGGATACGTTAGTGTATGCTTTGTATTAAAAAAAAGTGTTATTTTTGAATCTAAAATTCACAATAAATCCAATGAATTCTTGAATTTTAGAATTGAGAGCAGCTTCTTTCCTGTTCATAGAGCTATAGGAAGAGAAATTACTGTATATACTCAAGTATAAGCCTAGTTTTTCAGCCCACTTTTTGAGCTGAAAAAAGCCGCCTCGGCTTATACTCGAGTCAGTGAAAAATTTGCCCGAAATGGAGGAGAAAAAGGGGCGGGGCCATGCCGCTGGGTGACGCTCGTGAATGGCCTGGTGCCCCTGTGAGTTTCCCCTCCCTCTGTGTCAGTTTGCCGTGCAGCGTGCACCGCACCATCCCCCCTCCTCACGTTCTAATGTAATGCAGGGCTATCTTACGATTCCCCTTCCTCCCCCTCCTGCCGCTCTGCAACGATGTCCCACCTCCTCCTTGTTATGGCAAGCAGCCACATAGCGATGTCCCACCTCCTCTGGTACAGTGATCCAATGATAGGAATCACTGTGCCGTGTGTCATAGGAGGCGGGACATCATCATCACAGCGGGACATCAGCATCATGAGGTGAGTGAAGTATTTCATTGAATACACCGGTATTGTGTGATAATAATTTGTTATGCAGAGCAAATTTTTACAATGGCTACTGTATATTTAATGGGCACAGGCAGGCTGTATATGTTATTCAATGGGCAATGGCATTATTGGTATCTATTTTTATTTTTGAAATTTATCGGTAGCTGCTGCATTTCCCACCCTAGGCTTATACTTGAGTCAATAACTTTTCCAGTTTTTTGTGGTAAAATTAGGTGCCTCGGCTTATATTCGGGTCGGCCTATACTCGAGTATATACGGTAAATAAGATAATTACTGATATAATTTTCCTTTGTAGCTTGAACAAAATAACTTTTCATATGCACTCAATAATCTTTCATCATAGTAGCAAAATATAGGTAGTTCTTTTTCATGATAATTTTATTAATGTTGTTGTTATGGTGATAAAAATTCATACAAAGTAAAAAGATTAAAAATAATAGAAAGTACAGAAAAGAAAAATAAATTACAAAAGAAAAAAAACAATATAGTAAAGAAGAAAAGAAATATATAAAGAAATAACTTCACCCTTTATCACAAATATAAACAATTTTAGTAACTTATTATCTTTTCTTAAAATACAACAGGTGATCGCTTCTCCCCATATCCCATATTTTACCTATAAACAAATCCTTAAAACCTCATTATTCTACCTGTGATCAGCAGAACTCCATTAAAAATACTAATGATCCCAACATATCTATTTTAATCCTGACCAACTAAGCCAGTTTTATATTTCTTCCTTTTATTTTTAATAATCTTGATCCTTAATCCCTTCAAATAATGGGGACCCCTGCACTGAGGCTTAAAAGAAACTCACCTGATGGTTTCAGATTTTTCAATGCAAAGGGTTTCTAACACTTGAAAAACAGTTAGCAATAATCTTGACTCAGCAGACCTGCTGATGTAAGTCCCAATAATATTTGGGAAAATTTAAAAGATTTCCCCAAGAATATTTGGAAAAAAGATAACTTTTATTGCAACTTTTAGTTAATTTTATGATTTTATATACTGCTAGTCCTTGGCGTACAACTGGTCATTTAACGATTGTTGAAAATTAAAAGAGGCCTGGTGAAGGTGCCATGGCTGTCATAAAATGTCTGCCATACCATAACCTGTCAGAGGAATATATTTCAGGCACTTGGGAACCAGCTCACCTTCACAATTGATTTCGGTGTCCCATGGTCACGTGACTGCAATTTGCAACACCTTTTTTTTTTTGCTGATTTTCACTAAAATCAATCCCGTTTGGAATATTGTGTTCACACTTATGACTATGCATTCTCTTAACAACCACAAAATTTGCTTAACAACCATAGTGATTCATTAACTCCCTCAAAAAAAATATTGTAAAATCAGCTCGCGTCACATTGGTGTCAGTTTAGGAGTGTAGCAACTTATGACCAGAAATCTAGTCCCATTTGCAGTCAAGGACTACCTCTAACTTTAGTGACTATAACATGTCAATTTTTCTTTTTTAGGAGGGCCAAACACATGTTGGCAGAGAGGATGCTGCAAGAGAACAAGATATTGGTAAGTGTGCTCTCTTTCTCTTTTAATCTAATAGCTGTTCCAGCAGTTGATGGTTGAATGGGTAGGGGAATGGTTTCTACATTTATAAACTTGAAAGGGACTTTAGAATTACTATTCTAACACATACAAAGACTGAGATACACATTCTTCATATCCCCCATCCATGGATTAGGGCTATGCATAAAGTATTCATTGCCATGAACAAATATGTGTTATAGGATGCTTACAGAAGAAATCATACCTGTGGTTTTTGGAAGAATGGTGATGTAAATAGAACACTGCATTATTATTTTTTTACTAAGGTTTATGATATTGGAAATAAGCCATTATATTATAAACTTCTTATCCCTGGCCCTTGTCTAATATTTTATGAATTCCCCCCCTGTTGTTCTCAGCATAATACTGCATATGAATAAAAGTCTTTATCTCGTAGCAATGCAGATTTATACTTTTTGCTATACTTCTATAGCTCTCAAATTAAAACAGTCTTATATCTCTGTTTTGTCACCGTGCATATGTGTATATAGATTTATAAAAAGATAAAATTAAAAATTAAAAGTTAAAGAGGAAAATAATACAGTTGTTGAAGATCCATGGTACGTACACGCACACACACAAACACACACACACACACACACACACACACACACATCAGGACAATATATCAGAATTTTGGTTGGAGCAAAAGCAGTAGTGAATAGAAGTACTCCCTAACAACAACAGAGGCAATGCCTCCAACTTGCCCAAAGCACAACTCTGATTAAATTTTGGAACTGTGATCAAGTAGTCTTCAATTTAGGACTACAATTGAGATCAGAATTTCTATTGTTACATAGTGTGGTCACAACATCCTATGACTGCATTACTTAGCAACAACAATCCCCGTACTCCCTGTTGCTATTGTTAACTGAATTCCATGGGTCATTAGCCAAGGATCCATCCCAATTTAAGCCATTCCCAGCTTGGTCTATCCCAGAACCTGAGCTTTGGTTCTTCCAAGGTAAGGGACTATTTCTCCTTCATCCCCTGCTACTGCTTATCCCCCCCCCCCTCCACC